TGAGGGGAAACAGACCTTTCCATTCTATCCATCCGGATCGCTGAATTGTAACGCGCGGTATATCCGAGATACGCGCGAATACGAGATCGATCGTGTCTTCGCGCGTCTTAGTTTCGTCTCTTCTTTTTCTTTTCTTTTTTTTTATCGCGTCTTCGAGGAAGCTTCGTGTCGCGTTTCTACGTACCATTGACTTTGACTCGTTCGTTGCGTACGGATCGAGTAAAGCACGCTACCCCGTCTTTCACGCCGCGTTTCTACGATCTCTATAATTACACGTTCTACGAAACTGAGTCGCTTTAAAAGGGACCGGGCATTAATACGAGGTTAATGCAAGATCGTGGCATTTGAATTGAAGCATCACCGATGGCTGCGGTTCTTTAATGACAGAAAACCGTGGAGATCCTCGTTTGCATCGGCCGTACAACCGTCGAGGTGTACCGGTAGCGCGTGCTGAACGAGGCCTTTCAATCGCAGCGACCGCAACGTCGGCAAGAGGCCACGCCGCGGAAACCGCGGAGGCGTTCCTATAAACTCTGACTCCTAATTCGTCTATCTTTTCCTTTTCGTTTCGGAGGGGTGTCGTCATCCTATGTTCCCTTGGTCGCGTCAAGGCTGAGAGGTCATGCTAACGCGCGAAACTAACCCGAGTACGAGTATATACTCACTGAAGTCGATCAACAATCGGCCGTATCCTTGCCGTTGATAAGGCGGCAGCGTCAGGATGCAGGACACATTGTAGTTGAGGAAAGAGGTCTTTTCCTGGAACACATGGAAAGTAAAAATTTTATCCATTTCCACTGTGTCAATTTATTCTGCGTAATATGCAATGTTGGCACAACTTTCAGATTTTATATTAAATTACATGTAGTTTAACATTTTGTTGTTTTAGCTAACGTTTTCTACACACAACGTATTGTATTAAGATACCCTAGAAGATCGTTCTATTTATAACCAAATAGTTTTTTCGGCTGGCGCATGAAAAATTATTGACAATCGTTTTGGACACATTCCGTTGCATTTCCACGGATGGAAGTTATTGGATTATTTTATTATTAGCATACGTAATAGTTGGACAGCATCCAAATCGATTCTCCATTGATTTTGAGAAGAAACTGAAAGCTGACGGGGCAACGTCAAAGAAACCAGTTTTTCTTCTTCATCTCGAAGGCATACGGAACGAAGCTACATACTTCAACTCATCTCTGCACTGTGGCTGCGTGAGCCTCTCAAAGGCTGAAAGACAGGCGTGTTTACCTGGAAAAACAAAGTAATATTTCCGCTGGTAGCACGATTAGCACATTGAGCTGCGCTCCGCCCATGCGGCTGCGTGTGCAGCAAACACACAATCGGCGAGTATTATGACGTTAACGCGACGAAAATGCGTCGTGACCTTCGTCACGCGAAGAACACAATGGGTTAACGATATTTTGGACGACGTCCTGTTCGAGAAGAGAGACTGCAATATGTTTTTATTCAACTGTTTCCTCTCCGCATCTCTGGCTGATCGGAGTGGAATTTTCAAAAAGGTCGGCCGATCGAAGAAACAGATGAAAACGGGATGATGGAAATATCTCGTTTTAAATATAGACGTCGGTTGCCTCGCCAATGAACACGTTCATTTTTCGAGAACGTATTTTTACCGTGGCACCGAAGTGGGCGTACACCTACGGACAGTGTGCATTCTATATATCGGCGTATCGCGGCCAATGGCAGATTAGATAAATTTCGTGTGAAATTACATCTGTACCAAATCCAAATGGCAGTGCTCGCGACGAATCGCGGAGTAGGGAATCGCGACACGTGGACAAGGCTCCACGCACGAATCCCGATTGTTTCAATTTTCATCGATATTTCCCGATATTTAGCTGCAGAGACGTTTCACCCAGCGGGCAAATTTGCCCGGTAAACACACCGGGATGCAAGCGGAGAGATGAAGAGCGCTGGAAAATCAAGGCTTTAGAGTAAATTTAATTTTCGCTAGAGTGGACGCGACGGAAGATAAAAGAGAAAACATAAAGAAGAAAGGTACAGCATATATACCGAAAAACGTATCAATTGACGCGACAATCGTATCGTCGGATGTCGGCCTTGATATGTAGATCAACCGACTGTTCATCAGGGTGTACAAAAGAAAAGAAAATCTCCTTCGATCCTTCTTGCAGGAAAAGAAGGCAGACCTGTTTAACACGTTCCGTGCCAAGGCATTTTTGCCTTTTGTTGTCGTTTCAGGCC